AAAAAAAAAAAAGAATCCCTTACTTCAAGCAATCCTCCTATCCTACTCTTGAACTCCTGGTTTCAAACAATCATAACAATCCTCCTATCTCAGTCTCCTAAAAATGCTGGCATTACAGGCATGAGCCACTGCACTGGATGGGCCTTCCATGCCATTTTAACAAGTGTCATATGTTTGTTCGATCTGGCCCAGCATTGCACACTGTCAGAATTTTTTTTTTTTTTTTTGAAGTTTTTGGTCAGGGATGGGTTTGAACCCACCACCTCTGGCATATGGGGCCGGCACCCTACTCCTTGAGCCACAGGAACCACCCTGTTAGAATATTTTTTTAACACTATTTTAAACACTACTAGAATTCAAGCACCCCTGTTTCAAACCATACTTTTCTTTCTTTGTTTTTTAAAATATCCTATCTATGTTGGATCAAACCATACTTTTCTAAGAAGTTGAGGGTTCACAAAGGGACCACAATGTTTCTTACTCCCTGCTGCTGAGAATTGGAACTTGTTTACGTGCTCCCTTTCCACACATTTCCTGCCAGGAACACAAAGGAGGTAGAGGGAGGTGTAGGAACCTCCTGAGTAACTCTCAACCTTGGCAAGAGGATATAGTTTTTAGCATCATTTGTATTATTTAAATCTGACAGATGAATGAGGTTAAGTTCTTCACCTAGAAACCCCATGGGATTCTGTAGACTGAAAATACGTGTCAAACAGTGAAGGAGCTCAGGAAATTCTGCCCCAAAATATGACTGCTTTGTATAAAGGGTATATATTTTTTATTTCAGATTAATATGAACTGAATATTTTAGAATTAATATGAACAACCTATTAGGTTACAATATTTGCATTTGTTAGATAAGACCCCTGTTGTAATTGTGCCCCATTCCAGGTGTACAATATACCCTTACTTTGTGCCTGTTAGGTGAGGGCACACCAATCCTCTTCCCTTCTCCCCTCTCCTCCTCTTCACCCCCAACTTAAATTGAGTTTAATTGGCTTCATATTAGTATTGAATACATTGGATAGTTGCTTTTCCATTCTTGTGATAGTTTACTAAAGAGAATGTTCTCCAACTCTATCCCGCTTAATACAAAAGATGTAAAGTCTCCATCTTTTTTATAGTTGAATAATATTCCATGGTATACATATGCCACGGTTCCTTAATCCAGTTGATACAGGATTCCACCACTCAGGGCTAGATAGGGAGTCCCCCATTCTCTAGGCCCAGGTGAGCTCAGAGGTCAAGCCCCCATTTCCAGGCACAAGCAGACTGCCTTCTTTGGGACACACCCTCTGGACTTTGTTAGATCATGAACAAAGCAGCTAGTGATGGTTTTTTTGAGTTGTTCCACCTTGGGTAGGACCACACCCCCTAATCCCTTCTCAGGGACAAAGACTATAAAGGACATGATAACTACATCCATTCATTTGTCAATACATTCATTTCCATCTACCAACTGCCAGCAAGGTGTGATGCTCTAGACCTAATACCCCTAGATAAAAGAACCCACGTGGAGACTCCTGAGAGAGTTGTTCAGTTCTTTATCCCTTCCAGAATCTCTGGTGCTTTTTACTTTCCTTTCTAACTTCTAATAAAAGTCCTATCTTACCACTGATCTGTGGTCTGTGAGTTCATTCTTCGAATCCCCCCAAACCAAGGACCTACTGAAGAGCAAAATTCCAGTATCACAGTCATGGGTAGATGGGCACTTGGGTTGATCCCACATCTTGGTAATTGTAAACTGAGCTGTGATAAACAATCTAGTGCAAATGTCCTTATGATAAAATGATTTTTTTCTTCTGGGTAGATACCTGGTAATGACATTGTGGGATCAAATGGAAGGTCTATTTTGAGTTCTTTGAGGATTCTCCCTTCTTTCCAAAGACGCTGTGTTAGTTTGCAATCCTACCAACAGTGTAATAGTGTTCCCTTCTCTCCACATCCATGCCAGCATCTGCAGCTTTGGCACTTTGTGATGTAAGGTACTCTCATGGGTTTGGGTAATATCTCAAGGTGGTTTTGATTTGCATTTCTCTGACGATTAGGGACAGTGAGAGTTTTTTCATATGTTTGTTGGTCATTCCTCTTCTTTGGAGAAGGTTCTGTTCATGTCTCCTGCCCAGTGATAGATGGGATTGTTTAATCTTTTTTTGTTGATTAATTTGAGTTCTGTGAAGATTCTAGTTATTAACCCTTTGTCAGAATTGTAGCATGCTTGGCTCACTGCCTGTAGCTCAGCGGCTAGGGCGCCAGCCATATATACAGGAGCTGGCAGGTTCGAACCCAGCCTGGGCCTGCCAAACAACAATGACAACTACAACCAAAAAATAGCCAGGCATTGTGGCAGGTGCCT